CGTCTCTGCCTGCCGGCTCTGGTCTCATAAGTTTCCATACCCTGCTGCCAACTTATAATAACAGAGGCAGCAGGCATCAGGGTAGGAACGTCAGAGCCCGCTCCGCTCCATACGTGGGATCATGCTTTGCAGACTGAAACAAAGCCTGGAAGGTGTCATCACAGGCCTTTCAGCCTTGACAGTGGTTGTGCCCAGACCACCAGGAGCCTGGAATTAAATACCCTCAGATCCAGTTCTCTACCATTAATGTTATCAACTTCATCAAGTACTTCCTCTTTGAATGGTGTCTGCGGAGAAATAAATAAATCAAGCTCCTCCAAGTCCTGTTCCTGCCCGGATCCTGAGTCAGAAGTAAAATCTGAGTTGAATTATCTAGAGCACTGTCTCACTCCTTCATTGTTCCCAAAGATCTGGGCAGGAACAGAGAGTGAAATCTCCCAGGGACATTACATCAGTTCCTCTTTTACCCTTGGCATGAAAGTTCTTCCTCTCATAGTCCTCCCAGACTTCCTAAGGCTTGCCCTGAGTGCACACCCACATGCTGTGCCTTGAAGCCAGGACTTCAAAGAAAGGCTGCAGGTAACCAGATTACTGACCAACACCCGTGTCCGCTGTGAAATTTATAAGGCGGGAAATGGATTCAGGAAATGGGATTTTTTTTTTCAATACATGGTCTTCATCATCCTTAAGTATTTTTAAACCTTAACAAGCTTTTAAGTAAGGAGACATTCCCGAAAATGGCATTTAGAAGAAAATATATGAAAGTTCAAAATGAAACTGTCTTGAATAGTTACGTCCAGTGATCATATTCTGTGAAAAATGAAAAGTGAAACGTGGACAAAAGATAAACTCATTTTTATGGGCAGTAGAATTGAGATCCATATGAGCTATATAAAAAAAGAACTTGCCTTGTCCCCAGAAGACTGCAGATCATTTCTATCATAAGATTATTAAATCTTAGCCATTATAGTTAACTCCCTAACTCCATTGGCCTAGTCAGTACCCTGAATGCATTATATAAATGCATTTGGGTCAGAATGAGAAAGTTGGTGCTTGTCACTCCAACCTGTACCTTTGCGAGGTTGATTAAGTACTTAAAAAAGAAACTCTTTATAATGGAAAGTACCAAACCTACACCAAAGCAGAGAGAACTAAAATGGAACACCGTGTACCCCCACCCCCAGTTTTGGTAATCAGCCCATGGCCGGTCTTGTTTCTGCTGTACTTCACTTACTCTCTCCTTCACTGTCCCAGACTATTTTAACGCAAATCCCATTTTATCTATAAATATATTAGTATAGGTCTAAAAAGGTGAAGTCTCTATAAAATAATACAGTACTAGCACATCACCTGAAAACCAGTAGTTTGCATTTTTCCAGCTATCTTATAAATGTTTTTTACAGTTTGAATCAGAATGCAGACAGCATTCTAAACACTGCAAGAGGTTGATGTCTCTCTTAAATCTCTTTCAGCCCATCATTTTCCACCCATAACCTTCTTGTGTATGCTTGAGCACTGTCTCTTTCTCTCTTTGGATTTTTTGTTTTTGTTTTTGTTTTTGTTTTGTTTTGTTTTGGTACCGGGGATCGAACTCGAGTCCTTGAGCTTGTGAGGCAGGCACCGGAACCACTGAGCAGCTAAATCCCCGACCTCTTTCTGGGTTTTTTTAAAAGAATTTCTTTCCCCTATACATGGTATGGGTTGAATAACCCTTATCCAACATGCTTGGGCCCACATGTGCTTTGGAATTGGATTCTTTTCCAAGTTTGGAATACTTACTGTACATGATGAGATAGTTTGGTTGATGGGGCCTAAGTCTAAACATGAAAATCATTTATGTTTCAAGTAGTATATACCTTATGTACATAGCACAAAGGTAGTTTTATAGAATGTTTTAAATGTCTTGATGAAACAAAATTTCATGATGTAGAATTTTCTGTGTGGGATTATAGAGACATTCAAAAAGTTTCATATTTTGGATTAAGTGTGTTCAACCTGCTCCTCCTGCTTCTCCCCACCACCGCTTCCAGCTGCTTTCAAGGTTTTCTCTTTAACTTTGGTTTTCAGCAGTTTGACTGTAATGTGCCTGAGTGTGGTTTTCACTGTGTTGTACTCTGCTTGGGGTTCACTAAGCTTCTGAATCTTTAAGTTTGTTGTTGTTGATGACGATGTTATTGTTTCTATATTTGGGTGCAGTCTGGCCATTAACCCCCTCTCCCCACTTTTTCTGTACTCTCCTTCTTGGACACCAATTACATGTGTATTAGACCACTTGATGTTGTAATTTGCTTTTTTAAAAATTTTTATTGATTTCAAATTTACTAACCCTTTCTTCCCTTATCTCCAGAATGCCATTAAGTTCATCTAGTTTAATTTCCCATTTTTGATATTGTACATTTCAGTTGTAGAATCTTCATTTTAACAGTTTCCATTTTGATAGTTTCTGACCTCACTCATTATGATCCTAAGTGCATGAATTTACTTAGAATAACTATATTAATGTCCTTCTCTCCTAATCCTGACATCTAAATGATCTCAAGATCTCTTTCTCTTGAATGCCTTCATCTTGATTATAGGTCACATTTTGTTTCTTTTCATGTCTAGAAAATTTTTGTGAAATACTGAACATATAGATAACACATTGTAGGGATGTTGAATTGTTACATTCCTCTGAAGAGTGCAGACTTTTGTAACACCAGGCAGTTAATTTATTAGCAGTCACTTTGAATTTGTGTAGTCTTGGTCTTACATTTCATTAGGACAAATCTGTTTCAGTTTTGCCCAGAGATGTTGTCATTATCGGGTAGTGGATACCCGGTAGTGTTTACAGACCCTTCTAACTTGATGAGACTCAGATTATGAACTCTTCTCTCTACTGCAGTAGTCAGGAGCTGAGACTTCTCCTGTCTTTAAGGAATTTGCTCAAAAGCAATAGTTTCCTCTGCTAATATGTTATTCAAGAGGCAGACAACAATTTGAGAGAATGTTTATATAGCATTCTAGTAGCTGTCCCTTCTGAGGCTCCCTCCTATATGAGATTTGCTCCCACAATTCTTTGCCATTCTGTCATCTATGTATTTTATCCTGTGACAGCTCAAGCACTGCTGTTTGTCTTGTAACTGCCCTCTGCCATGTAGACTAGAGGGTACACGCAGGGGAAATCCATATAAATATGAATCTCTCTCTACAGTTCCCCCCTTTCAAGGATAATATCTTCAATTTTTGTCTGCTTTTCATTATTCCCCAGTATATTCAGATCTTTTTTTTAATATATTATATCCAGACTCTGTAATTTTTAGCTGTAGGAAAGTTAGTCTGATACAAGCCACTCAGCCATGATTAAAGCTAGAATCTCACCTCTTCTTTAATAGGTAGCTGATGGCAGATCGTAAATATTTCATCATTCTTTTCATATCTAACCGTAGAGCCTGGTCGCTGGTCCCCAGCAAAATACTGAGGTACTCCTCATTCTTTTATGTACTTGTCTAGTACCCCACTGCTTAGAGGCATATTATACTTTAAGTTTCCTGTTGATGGCTATTCCAGGCAGCAGATTACACATTAGTCACAAAATAAGATCATCTTTACCTTCAAGATGATCTTTTAATATCATGAACAGTATTTCCTTTGTTCACTGTCTTATGTGCTAGGTGAGATCCAGCGGAACTTAAAAAAGAAAAACAAATCCCTATTTTCCTGTTAATGCAGTGTAAAATTTGAAGAAACCACCACCTCTGTCTCTGTTTACTGACTTTATCAGAGTCCATTATCTCCTTTATGAGCTCTTCATATAGATACTGTCTTAGTGGTCGGAGGTCACAGCTTTGACTTGCTTTACTTAGAACCTTGAGCAACTCTTTGAGCAGAATAGGGGTCAGCAAGCATGTACATCCTTCTGGTGAGACAGCTTAGAGAACGTGACGAGACCTCATTAAGATGGATGTGAACCCCTCTGGAAGGTGCCATTTCCTGGCACATCCCCATTCTTCTGAGCCCTAGCAGGGATCCCAGAGCCCACCTGTTTGCTGGTCCATGCCTAAGCCAACCCCCAAAGCTGTACCTACTGCTGAGCTGTGCACACTTCTGACTTTGTCCTCAGGAGCTTGTAAATTCAGGTGGGGTGGGGTATCCATCCATCCATCCATCCATGCTTCTCACTTACCTCTACCTATCTCCGACATTTGACGGTGCTCCTAAAATTCTCTCAAATACAAGATTGTCATCCTGTAAAAGAGTCCCACTGCTTATGCTGAAAGCAAGGGGTTTTTTGTTTGTTTTTTGTTTTGGGGGCTTTTTTTGGTACCGGGGATCGAACTCGGGACCCTCCGCTTGCAAGGCAGGCACCGGAACCACTGAACTAAATCCCCGGCCCCTGAAAGCAAGTTTTGATAGGACTTTGTACCCTAGTTTGTATGTGACAAAGCGATAAATATTGCACTGAGTACATAGATTTCTAGAATTGGTCTGGAGTCTGGTTCTGACCTCTCCACTGGGTGTGTGACCTTGAATAAGTTGGCTCAGTTTTGTCATCCAAAAATAGGACCGATAGTGGTCTGTTCTGCTTAGGAGTAAGTTTTAAACAATGAAGTCTGGTACCTAAATATTGTTTGTTAGTCATCATCGTGATTAGCAATAACGACTCGTGGACACTCTATGAAAATTTGGTTGTAAGACTCCAAGTTGGTAAGAGCATCTAGAGAAAACTCCCTAAGGGTCCTTCCCCTCTCTGAAACCCACACGGAAGAGTCAGGTGAGAAGATAAAGGATGGAGGTGGGGCTCGTGTTAATCAGCCACTTCCAGGTGGTGAATCCAATTCCTAGTTTGAGCAATAGGAAAACAACTTCAAGTATGTGTACTTGAATTTTGTGTAGGCAACAAAAAAGACAATGCGTGCTGGGGCGAAGGGGGCTTTGTGAACACGTAAAACTGCTTCAGAACGCATGTGGGGCCCCCGCCTACCCTTCCCTGGGGCCTGACTGTCTCTTCCTCTGCCCCACAGATAACTGTGTCCAGAGGACCCCCCGGCCGGCTGTGGACACAGCACACCACAACCCTCCCACCATTGAACTCTTGCACCGCCCCAGGTCACCCATCACGACAAATCACCGGCCTTCTCCCGACCCGGAGCAGCGGCCCCTCCGGTCCCCCCTGGACAATATGATCCGCCGCCTCTCCCCAGCTGAGAGGGCCCAGGGTCCGCGGCTCCACCAGGAGAACAACCACCAGGAGTCCTACCCTTTGTCAGTGTCTCCCATGGAGAACAATCACTGCCCGCCTTCCTCCGAGCCCCACCCGAAACCCTCCAGCCCACGGCAGGAGAGCACCCGAGTGATCCAGCTGATGCCCAGTCCCATCATGCACCCCCTGATCCTGAACCCCCGGCACTCCGTGGATTTCAAGCAGTCCAGGCTCTCCGAGGACGGGCTGCACAGGGAAGGGAAACCCATCAACCTCTCCCACCGGGAAGACCTGGCGTACATGAACCACATCATGGTCTCAGTGTCGCCGCCGGAAGAGCACGCCATGCCAATCGGGAGAATAGCTGGTGAGTTCCGGGGCCTTACTCCTTCCTCAGCCTTGCAGCTGGCCTCACGCCGTTGCCAATTAAGTGCCCACGGCGGCTGTGGGAGGGTGAGTGGAGGTTTCAGCCTGGGTGAGGCAAAATCCCTAATAGCCTGGTTGATGAGCCATGGGGAGGGAGTAGTTAATGAGCCTCAGAAATGTTAAGAAACAAATGTCCTAGGTCCAGCTTATAAGGAGAGTCGCATCAGAATCATGGCTAAGGGAAAACGTTGAAAATCGAAGGTTTATGAGCATGCTAATAGCCCTGTCCTGAGGTTTCCAGCAAATTAATGACCAGACATGGCATAAAGAATCTTTGTCTCACATTCGTGCCTGCAATTCCGTCGTGTGGGTAGCTTCACCTTGAGAGGAAGCAGGAAAGGAAAACAGGATTATGGGGTTGGAGGCAGGTGTTGCTGGGTCTTTTGGACAGAAGAAACCACTCCCAGATTCTTATTTTATGATGACAAGTTCAAATCTGCTTATGTAGGACAAGCAGCCAGTGGAAACCAGTGAAGAAAAATCTACTCATTCCCTTCTGGCTAGTCTGCCCATAATTGACATGAAATCATCCTCCAAAGCCTCATGCCCCATCTGGCAAGGTGAACTCTTTCCCTAGAGTCTCGCTGCATTCACAGGATACTTGTTGAGCACCTACTGTGTGCAGATGAATGTGTCAGGCACACAGTGTGCAGACTTGATGTAACACACAGTGCCTTTGTCATCCAGCATTGATAGTTCAGTGGGAGACTAATGTGGGAAACACCAAGATACAAGGCAGAAAGAAATAAGTCCTGTGCGGCATTCCTGTCATGTATAAGTATTCATTGAGCACCTGTTGTGTGCCATAATAATAAAGCGAAGCAAAGGAAGATGTATTCTGACTGGAGAAACCAAGGTTTCCCGAGGAGGTAGCTTGATACGGAAATGATTCTGGTCTCCACAGTGGGAAGGGGGCCCAGAGTAGAGAACAGAGCTCACAGGGACAGGTGAGAAGTGCCCCTTCCTCTGGAAGCCCACAAGGATACAGCGATGCCCATAACAGCAGGTACTTCTGCAGGCCGCCTCCACCTCTGCCTCACCTGACCTTTTGTTTGAATCATTTGCTTCTCTGGCCCTAAGCGCACCTGTAACATTGTCGGTTTTATTATTGTAAGTAATTTACATCAGACATGTTGAGTCAAGGACAGAAAATGGAATCTGGGGATGTAGCTTAGTGGGAGAGTGCTTACTTAGCATATGTGAAGCCCTCATCCATGGAACCATGAAAGGGAAAGAAAAGGAACAAGGAAGGGACAGAGGAAAGGGTAAATAAGTATGTTTAAAACTTAGATGTTTCAGAAACCTATGAAAATGGAATATATTTTGGATTCAATTAAAAATGATGCCTCAGGTTTGGGGGTGCAGAGATGGGAGTAGAATTTCACTAATGAAGAAGTAGGTGGCTGCTGGATAGAGGGGATTCCCGTTGTTGTTCTCTTTCCTCTTACACATACATTAGGGTTTTCTGTTTTTGTTCTGTGGCACTAGCTATCATCAGCAGGGCCAACCCCACGTGGGTTAAGACCAGTTGGCACTAAATTTCCCAGTCTGGCCTCGAACTTGGACTCTTCCTGCTTCAGCCTCCCCATGGGTCGTATTGTAGGTGTGTGCCACCATACATTGGGGGCTCTTAAATAATTAAAAACTGCAGGAGTGGGGGGGTAGGGGACAAAGAGTTCAGGCAAAAATGTGAATTTCCTCAGATAACTGGAGGAAGAGGATAGGGCCAGAGCATTGCTGTGAATGAGATAAATGATCTTCCGCTTTCCATGCAAGACCCTTCTTGGCTGCATTGTCTGCAAAGCAGGGTTTGTAAGTTTCGAAACAGTATCTTAGTCCTGAACCGCAGCATCATCTGGTGGTGGATACTGTGTCATCTGGGGAAGACTACCACCGACCAAGTGCTGAGCCTTGTGTCTGTGGAACACACCACAACAGGACTCCTTGCTTTCTTGGTGGCTCTGGGAAGTCAGTATTCATATAAAATAATCCTCAGACCCAGATCTTTTGGGGAATCTATTAACTCCTTCAGGAAGACAGAGTCCTCTAAAAAGAATGATGAAAGCTATCATGGTATATTCAAAAGTTTTAAATGTCCAGATATATCCATAAACTAATTTAACCAAAGCCAAGATTAACTAATTTAACTGAAAGCTATTGTTTTTCTCAGGGGTGCAGTGAGAGGAATGGATTGGGCAGTGTCTGAAATTCCTTCCCATTGTGCAAGTCTGCAATCTGACTCTAGTCGTGATTCTGAAACTTTCTAAAAAGGTCTCAGCAGTTCTCGGCTCCCGTGTTCTGCCATGAGAGCCCCTGCCTCTGTGCCTCAAACCCCTGCTGTCTTTCTGGACTACTCAGGTCCTTGGAAAATGGAGTGTGTCCATGCGAGGTCAAATTCACTGGGCGGCTCCTATGTACAACGTAAGGTTCTTTCATTACCGAGCAGCCATAGGAAGCCGCTAATCTCTATAAAGCAGCTGTTAGATGAGAAAGCTTAGTCCCTTAAAGCTCTTTAAAAGAGCACAGCACAGAGAGAAGGTGCTGAGAATGTCACGCGGATGAGCACTGTAGCTGGAGGATGTAGACGGAAGCAGACCTCATGGATGTGAGTCAGGAAACAAAGCCCAGTTCTCACCACCAGATGCAGTTTGCTCAGAGACACTAGGAGTTGGGCAGTCGGACACCTTCCACCTTCCACCTTCTGCATTCTTGCAGGAGTGGGCGTTCACAGAGGTGTAGGACACAGTCTGTATCAAGGAGCTGAGCACCGTGAGCTAGGAAATTTGAAGCGTGTGAAACGTGTCTTAGGAAAATTCCTGTTCCTGTCAGGCACTGTTGGAAGTCAGGGGAGGCTGTGTGGCGGGCTGGCTCTTAGCCGGGCCTACAAGAATGCTTAGCATGTGGACACGTGGAGAGGAGAGCAAGAGAGTCGTCCCAGAGGAAGACAACCTGCAGGAAAGCACACAAGATAAGGCCCAGCGGTTTTTTCCTACTTTGGGAAGAAATGTAAACCCAAGAATCCAGGTCTATGCAGGTCAATTAAAAATCCATCAGTTTTCATGAATTTTTTTTTTAACCTCTTAATACATAAATCTGCCTTGCATCCTACAATTAAAAGGTTACATGGAAAGTTAGGAGTCTACTTGGGATTACCCTGTAGAAAAACTAAAACAACAAAGATAATGAGTAGGTGGTTGGCAGTTTAAACGAAGGCCACAAATTAGATCTATTTAATTATGTAGCTTAACTTTTAAAGGATAAGAAGGACTTGTCATGAGAGTTTAACAAGGTGGAATGCTTGGCCTTTATAGGAGAGTTTAAACAGGACGGAGTGAGAGGCGTTCCCTAGGTTCCGTTTTTTATGGAATAGCTAGTGATGCATGTAACAATGAGCAAGTTCCTTTTTTTTCCTGTTTTCTACTTAGTATCTTCAGGAAAGGACTGCTGGGGATTGAGGAGCAGCTGGAAGTATCTGTCATCTTCTGAAACATTTCCCTACCTGCAAGTTCCGTCCGGCCTGTGTCTCCCCAGTATTTCATAGGCAGAGGGTAGAGCGGCCCTTGTGATGGTGGGTGTCATGGTCTCAGGATGCACAGGGGCCCCCCGTTATCCATGGTTTCAGTCCCCCGTGGTTAACCAGGGTCCAAAAATATTGAATGGAAAATTCCAGAAATCTGAGTTTTAAACTTTCATTACAGAATATCACAGTTGTTCTGTTTTACTAGTCATTGTTGTTCATCTCTCACTGTGCCAAACTTATAATTTAAACATTATCATGTGTGTTTATATGTAGGAGAAAACATAGCAGATAGGGAGGGAGTTCAGGCATCCCCTGGAGGTCTTAACAGGTAATCCTGCATGGATAAGGGAAGCTACTTGTGCTGTAATCCCTTCTTAGGACCAGATGATTTCAAAACCAGAAGCATGTTTTACAGAAGAAGGAACTAACCGAGATTCAGCCACACCCGTATCGCAGCCTCGTACACTCCTGCCCAGTGTTGTTCCTCAGACGCTGTTCCTTCTACCCCAGGCCCTGGAGTGGGGATTGGCCACTGTGGCAAAATTCAGCCGCCACCTGTTTTTCTAAGCCAGGCTTCCTTGAAAACCAGACCTATTTATTTAGTGTTGTCTGCTTTTGTGCTGCAGCAAAAGTTGAGTTGAGTAGTTCCGGAGACCATTGGCCAGAAAGCCTAAAATATTTATGAATTGGCCTGATAGAGAAAGTTTGCTGCCCGGCTCCCCATGTGGTCAAGGTACTGGGCGGCACTGGCATAATAATGGAGGGTGTGGGCATAGGAAACACTGTCCTTGCTCTCAAGGAATGCTTTGCCCCATAGATGGTGAGGCAAGTCTAAGACATGAAAGAACAGTAACAAATGATGAAAGACTAGGCAAGTTCTGGACTGCAGGCTACATTCAGAGAACAATCCGGAAGCATTGCAGTAACATCATGAACGTGAATAAAATACAGCCAAGTGAGTTGTTTCTTTGCACATTTGCTTTATATAGCTATTTGTTCATTCATTCAAAAATCATCATGTGTCTGCTCTGTGCCAGGCAGGCACCATTCTAGGTAACAGACAGGTACGCACCTGTCTCCGAATGCCAACTTGTTGTGCCTGCCGACCGGAAGCAGTACCCCGCCTGCTCTCCGCCACCACACAACCCAAGCTCCTGCTACGGTTTTAACTACAGACGGCTAAATCCTAAAAGGGAAATTTTAAGTTATTTTGGATTTCTCTTAAAGTTCTTCAGTTCCCTTAAAACCTGATCCACCTGATTGTCCATTCCTTGGCCTTAATCCAAAAATCTGCTAAGAAAGAAAGATTCATGGATAAGCTGAAAATTGTCTTATATCTTAGCCCTTCATTTGCTACATAAAGGCAGGTACTTCAGAAGTCTGTACAGATTCGGGTGTTCAAAGCCCATGACCCATCTAAATAGACAATATTTCCTTTCCTGCACTCACCTGGCAACTCTGGCTAAGTCTCTTGGTCTCGGTAACTTGAACTTCATGGGTTTCGAGGATGTCCTGACTTCTGTCAGCTTGCAGCCTCCTCACTCCCACCCTCATAAGGTACTTCATGGGCATCTTTCAGATCCTTAAAGGCAGCCATTTAGGCTTTAAAAATATACATGTTGGGCCAGGGAGCGCAAGGTCCCGAGTTCAATCCCTGGTACCACACACACACACAAAAAAAAAACCACAAAAAAAATACATGTTTATTATCTACCAAGGTTACATATTTAACAGAAACAAAAAGTCTAATCAGGGAGACATGAGTCTCCTGGGAAGCTTATTTTATCACCTGACTCGGTGTACTTTCCTGATTTGGTTTTATTGACTGGATGAGTTCTGTATACACGAAAACCCCATCCTGGAAGCCTCTAATCTTTAAATCAGATGAAGCACATGAAGGGAGGAACAGGGAAAGCAGTGAAGCTCATCCTCAGGGACCTCCAGGACCAGAGGAAGCCAGACTGAGCCCTGACCTCTTGCCTCCATCTGCCCTTCATCCCCACCAGTGAAATCCACTTCGGGTGAGGCTCTTGGATTTTTTTCTTTTGTAAGTAACCCTCAGGAGTGGCCTTGAAGACAAAAGACATCATAAAAGTGGACTAAAGGGATTAGTATGACAGTGAGGAGGACAAGTCTCCTCCTAAGATGTGGAGGTGCACCTTTGCACTCGCGTGTATTGGTGTAAAGTCTCTGTTTGGAGGAAAGAAAGGACAGGGTCATGGGAGGTGTCCATCAGCCAAAGGATTCCAGAGTTTTGTACCGGCTGAAAGAGCCACTTCCTCCTGGACCACATTGGGAGATAGCCCTCTGGGGACCCCTGTGTCCACCCCCTTGATCTGGGGTTCAGTTGACAGCCAGCCTGGAGTGCCTGGGGAGGCGGTGGGGCCCTGGGGGAAAACCTGGACGCTGCAGGTGGAAGCAGCGGAATCCAGCTCTTCTCTCGAGAGCAGAGGGGCTCAGTGTCTGAGGCTTTGTTTCCTCATCTGTAATTTCCAGAATACCCATCCTGGGCATTTGTATTAACAAGACAACGTGAATGGTAGCACAAGCAGGTTAAGTACAGACGGTCAGCCTCCCCTTCTTCACCGTGTAAAAGCGAGGCAGCAGCTCAGAGGGGCAGCACAGCAGCCCTCCGATCAGGTATGGGGCACTGACACACCAGGTCATGTTTGTGTCAGGCCAATGCTAAGATGCAGAATGTGCTCCAGCAAGGCCACCTCAGCTATTTGCTTGCAAGTTTCTGCCTGCTGCCCCTGCCAACCGAGGACATAGATAAGATCCTCACTAGGGTCTGATGAGCCCTGGGGAGGGTGAGTCTTCAGTCCAGCTAGAATATTCAGCTTGGCTCTGACTTCTCACACTTTGGCTCAATCACTTTGCTTTATTTTCAGTGCAAACAACTAAGAAATCAAAGAGTCCTGGGGCCAGGGATGTAGCTCAGTGGTGCCGCACCTGCCTGGCAAGTGCAAAGTCCTGAGTTCAATCCCTGGTACGGCTGGAGGTGGGGGGGCGGATCAAAGAGTCCTAAAGAAAGGGAAGTTTCAGGACAATGCTTTTAAAGGGTAGAACATCAATGGCACCCTGGCTGGGCAGGAAGTAATAGGAGACTGGAAATTCCAGTTTGCTCAATGGTACATGCGTTTGTTACACTGTGCCCCAGCTCTCTGCAGTCCCTGGATGTGAATTCCCAGGTGACTCCCACCCTGAGCAAAGCTGAGGCTGGCGTGGGGCTTGGTTCTAGCCTCTGGGCTCTCAGCAAGGGCTGGAGTCTCAGACCAGCACCCCGGCCCGCTGCTGCACACCCACACCATCAGTCACCAGAGCTGGGAGGCCCGCTTGTTTGCAGCTGTGGTCCCCCTGCCCCGTGAAGCCTTTGCATTCTGTCTCCACCGCCTACCCCACCACAGCGAGCCACTCACTGTGCCCGTGTGGCCTGTTTTCCTAAACCACAGGGAAACACAGCCAGTGGCCCTCTAGAGACAGCTCTTCGCATTAACAGGGAGTTGGCTGTTTGGGATTTAGCAACTTTCTGCTTCGAGCTAATAGCTGCTCTAGAACAGAGGAGGAAAAAAATGACTGAGTGGCATTTGCCCCTGCATCTTGCCAAACCCATGTCTCTGTGAGCAGTCTCCCCCGCGGCACTCTCGCTGTTCAGGCTCAGCACTGTAATTCTCTGCTGCACGGCTCGTGCTGTGCTTTATAAGTTGTCTAGCAGCATCCCTGACTTCGCCCACTGCATGCCCGAAGCTCACTCTGTGCCCATTAGGACCGAGACCTCGCCATACACTGCCCCTTCCGAGCACTGTCAGACTTTCTATTTTGAATGTTACCTCACCTTTATCAATTTCTAGCTATTTTTAAAAAATTAAATAGGGGCCTTAGGGGCCTCCCTGTTGGTAATTATGTCTATGGCACTATGGTTTATAGACCTTCATTTAAAATTTCACTTGGAAAAAAATAAATAAAAATAAAATTTCACTTGGGCTTTAAAACAACATAAAATTACTTCCTTAGATGCTCTTCTGAAGGTTACATTAACCACCATTATTACACATTCCCTTTGTCCCGAAACTTGACTTGCCTACTCAAAATTTTTAAATATCAATTTTGTCTAGCATGGTTTTTTTTTTCCTTTAGAAACCATGTTGATTATGTGTGAATTGCCCATCTTTTTACAGTCTCTCCTCAATCCATCTCTGGTAGGAGACAGACGTGCGAGTGAAAATCTCTCTCCTTAACCACAGGAAGGGACTTTTTATGCCTTTTAGCAGTGGATTCTCAGGGTACCTCACCCAGCAGGAAGCAGAGAGGACGCTTTCTACAGTGGGAAAGAGGCCTTTTATTCTAGCTAAATTCTTTCGTAAACTTCCTCTCACCTCATGGAAGAGACGATCCAAGTAATGGACAATTTCTTTAAAATACTCACCTGCCTTGCTACAGAAGGAGGCCCTTTAGTTTAAGGGAAGCATATTTAAAATTAACAAATGCCTTGGGATGTAAAAATTTTACACATGCATGTTCACTTGTGGTGAGATGGGCTTTTGTTTATAGAATTTGGTGTGTTTTTATTGTACAGTATTAAGCACTTTCAGTGCTGACCAAAACATCACATCTGTGCAAACATGGGTTTGACAAAGCTGGAAGATTCTAGGTGGGCTCTGATTACGGCCTCCAGAAGGTCTAGGGACTGAGGAGGGTGTGTCTTTTATTGAATGAAATCTTAAAAACAAAAACAACTCATGGATTCAATCTCAGTTGTTGAAAAAGGAGGGATGGTAATGTGGTCAAGCCATTATTATTTTTATCATCTAGGCATAACTTAACTAAAAGCAATCAATAATATTGTAAAAGTCACTTATACTCTGAACTTGAAACAACTTTGTCACAGAATTCCTGTTGCTACCTCCATTAATGACTGAGTAATTCAACATGTCTTGAATGTCAACAAATTTTTATTACTCAGCTAACACTGGCTTTGCTAGGTTAAATGTCACTTAAAGTGATCAGTGGAAAGCTAGTTTGGGGTTAATTTCAAATTTATGAAAGGAAAAAGTTCACAAGATACAAATGTTCTTGAAGCTTATAGGTAAAGTCTGCTTTCTGTTAAGCCCTGCCCTTCATTTGCAATCCAAAGATAGCATTCTAGATCCCAGTTCTGTGCCTCTAGGAAACCAACATGGTATCCCAGTGCTGAGTGAGCCGTTACTTGGCGAAATGGTCTGGTTGACATTTTCCTGGGGTTTTTTTGTTTCTGTTTTTGTTTTTGTTTTTTCAGACAGGACTATGTAGTTGTATGGCCTTGAACTCACTATGTAGCCCAAGCTGACCTCACACTCATGGTGATCCTCCTGCCTCAGCCTCCCAAGTGCTGGGATGGCAGGCATGCGCCACCATGCCCAGCTATTTTACTGTTTTATGAGAAATACAATGCACCATGACAGTAAAAGATAAAAAACGGGGGAGTGAAACCTCTGCAGTTGGAATGTCTGCTTTCAGCTCATAGTAGGTCTCTAGATTATTAAAGTTTATTGTGAGCACATTAGAGAACCCCATTCCATTTCAGAAAAATGCAAAGGTGTCCTCAGCCTCTTTGCAGTGAGTGTGATTGGAGCCACACAGGGAGGCAAGGGCGGGGTATCAGTAACCCACTTTCATTCTTCCTAATTCACAGGCATTTTACATGATTGCATTTGGTTTTGTCAGATTTTCCCAGCAGGGAGAGATTATGGGAAATTAAAACTATATTTGCCTTTTGATGGAACCAAAACTGGACAGTTGAGCTACAGCTTGTCTGTTCAGGCTGCTATAACAAAATAGCATGAACTGGGTAAATTATAAACGACAGAAACTCATTCCTCAGAGTGCTGTAGACTCCCCGTCCGATGAGGCCTCACTTTCTGGTTCAGAGACGGCACCTTGTCGGTGTGTCCGCACCCGCACGGAAGGGAGGCCCAGAGGTCTCTCAGAGAAGCGCAGGGCCCCCGCTCTTGTGGGTGGAGCCTCCAAGACCTAATCGCCTTCCAAAGGCTGGGGCTGTCACTTGGAGGCTAGGATTTCAACATCCAAATTGGGGTGGGAGGCGTAACAGCCAGAATGTAGCAGTTCTCTATTTTCTGTTTGTAAGGAAAGTGATACAGAAAAAGGAGGCAGCTTCTCGGCATAAGGACACTTTGCCTACTCTGCTTTGCCTAGAAACTAGGGCCGTCGTTTTCCGGGCGCCTTAAGCGCGAGCTAGAATATTCTGCCGGTCATTGCGTAACACTGGCCTCACATGCTACTTTCTGGTGCTTGGGTTGGTACCCTGCTCTCTCCCCCAACAGCAGCCTACCCTCTGGCAATAAAGAAGGGGGCCTTAGGAAAGTAACAGAAGTGATGGGCCCGTCCCTAGAGGGATTCAAACTCCAGGGCTGGATGTCACTGTTTTAAGGACACCACTCATCTTTTTTCCAAAACGCAACAAATCCCCCATCACGTTTATTTTGAGACACAGATAACACATACACACACACTCACGAATGCTTGATGTTTAGGCTCATGGTAAGCTTGTAGTTCCTTGAAGAATTAAGCTTTCTGAAAAATGCTACATTCCCTCTGTTCCTTCTGCCAGAGAAAATGTTGGAAAGGGTACACTAAGCAAAGTTCAACTTTGCTCTAAAAAAATACTAAGATTTTACAGATATATTCCCATTGACCAGTTATCTGAGACTAGAAATCACATCAGGGAGTACGGTACAGCATAGGCTTCGGAGTCGCACATAGCCTAGAACCCAAAATGTGTCCCACACAGCCGTGCCCTGCAGTGACTACATTACCAAACCCCCTGGCCCCGGCTTCCTGGTCTATGAAGCAGGCAACAGCCTCTGGCTCCTAGATGGGATAACAAGTGTAACCATGCATACAGAACATACAGACAGTGCCTGCAAGTAGCTCCCAACAAATACAATTAATGGTTTCATTATTTTCTTTTCATTTGCATTAGCACGAGTACAATAATCCTGTAAAGTAAGTGTTGTAATTCTCACAAATGAGGAAACAGACTCCCAGGGAGATTAAGAAACTGGCCCAAAGTTGTCTGGAGAATTCAAAGAACGGAGTACTTTCTCTGGGATGTGAACATGTTGGCTGTAAGACATTGCTGGATACTCCCTTCCCAGGGGTGCCAGGCCCAGACCTTACCCCTGTAAGAGACAGCACACTGTAGTACAAGAACCAGGGACCTCAGGCAAGTTCTCGTAACCTCTCTGAGGACTGCAGTGATACTCAAAGTGTCAACTAAACAGCGCAGTAAACAGGGTTAATGTTTAGATTTCTAAAAATTACAGTAAAAGACACATTGCCATTCATCGCCCCGCCAAATACTCATGCTTTGAACATGTGTCCTGTTTAAGGTTTTTTAACATTCACTGCATTTTCCTATCACCCCTTGTATGTGTCTACCTCCACCTACCTACCTAGCAAGGCTCTTCTAGAGGGCAGCAGAGGGCAAGGGGACAGGGAAGGGGGACGTCCCATGTTAGCTGGCTGATTGCGACAGGATCTCACTGTGTCACCCAGGGTGGCCTCACATTCCTGGGTTCTGGGGTTACAGATGTGCAACACCACGCCCAGCCATATGTCTTCTTTAATATACGAATCCACAGCCAAAACCTAGGTTTAGCAAAGTACCAGGGCCTTGCCAAATCACTTAATAAATATTTGCTGCCCAACCACGCAATCAAACATCATTTCTGCAAATGGAAAAAATGAGTTTTTGGACCAGGTTCCTTTCTACTTTGATTCCATTATAATAAAGCCATTTACAAGCCTTCCAACATATGATATAATGAGAATATGGGTATTTGTAAAGTCACGCTGGCCACAGTTCCCGCAGTCAGCATCACCAAGCCACATAGCTTTGCTTTTCCCAGTTTTTGAGTCATTCCTCTTCGTTGGACACTTCCCGGGTCTTCTCATCTCCATCCATTCAGGATCTTGCCGACACCAAGACCGTTTTCAGCCCCTGTACTTTTAGTTCACTGCTCTCTGGGACTTTGAGACCTTCTTTGCCCCCTTCCTCCTCCCAGCCTGTTTGTAGGTCACTGTCAAAGCCGAGTCATGCATTAGTGCTTTGCTCCCTGTCTCTCCAAGTGTTGGTCACGACCACGGACAAGCCTCTTCCTCTTTCTGAGTCACGGCGTCCCCATCTGTAGAGGGAAGCAGCCATCCTGGACATAGTCTAAGCCCACTCAGGTCAGAGATCATACTTCTCCAACAGGATTTCACCAGCTCTCCCCAGACCTTCGTTTCCTTCTCATAAACAAGGAAGTTAGACCACCCGTTCAAATGAAGCAAGAGCAGTGACTGGATTCTTCTCCGAGTCTTGTTGTTACTGCCTCAACCAGAAATATTTTCAACACTGTTTCCTCCCTTTTCCCCTGTAGACTGTAGACTGCTTTGGGATTACGTCTATCAGTTGCTTTCTGACAGCCGGTACGAAAACTTCATCCGATGGGAGGACAAAGAATCCAAAATATTCCGGATAGTGGATCCCAATGGACTGGCTCGGCTGTGGGGAAACCACAAGGTAAAAGTGCCCCGGATACTCGCCTTATAAACCAGTGCCAACATGAAGTCTCTGTCCCTGGAGCGAAGGGTCAGTGTTCTGCTTCCCAAGTGTGCCCATAATCATGTAGCTTGTTCCTCACTGGCCAGTTAGATGGATAGCTGCAGCAGAAGGAAACAGCTACAGAGACCACTTTCCATGCATTACTGCTGCCAGGTACCCATGAACTCACCTGTGGCAGAAGGGTCCCTCTCCCTCTCTCTGCCACTCCCCCCTCCACCTGGTCCTGCCACTCCGCCATCACTAGGAACTGGGTTACAGGGAAGTGCTGCAAGCTGTATGACTCACGGGGAACCCTTGGGAAGTGGTCACTTCTGTCCCGCTCATTTGGAAACTCCCGTGTTCACAAAAACCCATTTCTACATGGAAAATACTTACAATCTTGACTAGCAACATCCCCTTTACAAGCACACGGCACGAGAATTTTGATTGGCCCACAATTTTCCAGACTAGAAGAAGGAAATGGAGTTTAAAACATAAAGTCTTCTAGGGTAAGGCAGACTGTTCAGATGTGCATATGGACAAGGTGGATGGTCATGATCCAGGCCAGACAACAGATGGGCAGATCTGGGACCACATTGGGAGAGGGCACGGGACTCAGCCCATGCTGTGGCCCAGGGAGGAGGACCTGATGCAGACCATGACCAAACAGGAGGCCCTTGTGACAGCCACTTCAGTGTGAGTCACTGAGAAATCTCTGCCATCGTGCAATAGCCCTGGGGCTCAGCACTGCTGTATTCCTGCTGCCACAACAGGGATATTAAAAAAATAAAGTCTCTTCCTTAAAATGACAGACCAGAAACAAGTTTGAGAAAGGTCACTGGAACGAAAAAGGAAATTCTGTGTGGGTTAGGCAGTGAAGGATGTCCCATAGATCGGGGGGACCCACAGGGAATGGCTGGGCACAAGGAAATAGAGGTGCTGCTAGAGCACCCCGCCTTCTGACAGAAGGGGCTTCACTTCAGGCAGAGTCCTCAGCCCTGGTGGAAGCAGAAGGGTGGGAACTAAGGGATGCAGACTGATGACAGCGGATGAGCAGGTAGAATCCCCAAACTGGGAGGGCCATATGAGGCAATTGAAGAGCTTTTATTTTAATAGCTGCCCCAGTGCCTTTTCTGAGGTTCATTTCATTGTCTTTGTGCTTTTTTCTCTCTTCCTCCTTTGAACAAACAGAACAGAACAAACATGACCTATGAGAAAATGTCCAGAGCCCTGCGCCACTACTACAAACTAAACATTATCAGGAAGGAGCCAGGACAAAGGCTTTTGTTCAGGTAGCACTACTTTTGCTCTTTTCCTTCTTTGGGGAGGGTTTTGTTTTCTTTAAATAAGAGGAAGGCGGTGGACTATCACGATCTCTACCTGCCCAGCTGAGAACGCGAAGCCATTAATGCAGGTACTACAAATTGGAGATCAGGCGCGGGTTTGTTAAGATTTAAAAATTTTTTTCTACTTATGTCTGTCCTGTAGTAAAACCAAAGCTAAACAAATACAATCTGACTCACTTATAAAATAATGCAGCAAACAAATAGTATCTGGCTTCAAAGTCCAGTGTAGTTAAGGGAGCCAACAGAGTAGTCCTTTTCAAATGGCAAAACAAGGAATTAAACCTGGACTTCCAGGTCACCAACCCCAGGAGCGACTTTCTGAAGCTTTTGTCAAACTGCAGATAATGACCCACAGTGATTCATGAAACAGACTTAATGGGTTGGTCACATTTTTTTTTTTAACTAGAGAACAGAATAGAGTTGAAAATATCAGAATACATCACATAAGAGTGACAAATGATTCATGAAGATTTTGTTTCAGGGGTGTGTGTGTATATAGATGCGTGGCTCATGATGTAAAACGTATTTCTTCAAATGCATCATAGTCAGAAAAGTATGAAAGCCACTGCACTAGATATTCCTCTTTTCAGAATTTTCCACAATTAATGAGTTCAAACCATTTAACCTATCACATAGATTGTGATTCTAAGAACTAGAAGAGAAGAAGGTGTCTAAAGGACCACTCAAGAAAGGCAGAAGTGGACCCCTGACACCATTAGTAATTTGAGCTGGGACCAAGTGCGGTTTGGGGGAAGGTGAGGTGAACAAGTGTGACTGTAGGTCGTAGGTTTTGGCAAATGAGACAGAAAAGAGTGATAGACAGGGCTGGAGATGTGGATTTGGAATTATATACATTGGTAAAAAATGACACGGTAATGAGCAGAGCAGCTCACTGGGATGGCGGTGTTCATTGGAAAGAGCAGCAAACTCGGAGGTTAGCACTGGGATAGAGGGGTTCCTTGGGAGTAGTAAGGAGAATTCCAGTCTTCAAAAGAAACAGAAAAGGGTAGTCAAGAAAGAGAAACAGAATGGAATAAAAAAGAACCTTCTCACCTCTGGCTCTAGATACTTTCTCTTTGCCCTTCATTCTAAACTCAGTCCTTGGTTCCCAGTTTTTCATACTTGACTCTTTTTTCCTGGATGAATTGATCCCATTACACAACTTCATTTGTCACCTCAGTGAGTATATATTCTTAAATCCAGGTCTAAAATTCTCCCTGGAATTCTAAATTTAAATTTCTAAGAGCTTCTTGTAGGAAGTAACCACTTAAATTTATCACATTAGTATTTCGAACATGATACCTTCAAGGCAGACCCTTCTTCACATATTAAAAACGCTACCCAGAATTCTTGTTAGTCATCAGTGGCATTGTTACTGTTTTAAGCAATCTTGAAACTAGAGTTACTAGTTATAGGCTCCTCCTGTACCCTAGGCAGGCATTATGCTGGACGGACCACTGGCTGGTCAGCGCCATTCCCATTTCACTCTGTTACAGGAGCTAGAAGCCTGGCAACTGCATTCCCAGGATTTGTTGCCAGAAGGTCCCAGGTTGAAGTCTACACACAATATACACATTCATGAGATTTGGAAGATAGAGGAAAGACAAAATCATTGCTATTGCTTCCTTGACAGTGGAAGCTGATTTCTGCACTTCAGTGATCCACATCAGAATTCATTCAAAACCTCCTATCCCTGGTCCACTCCTCTGCCTTCCGATATTACACTACACACTTCCGGCAGCCCCACAGCACTAATGCAATTCCCTTTTCCGGGCAGGTACCTTTACAGGCAATTTCAGTTCTGTTACCCTTTATGAGGCCTTCTGTCATCTCATGAATTCCCTTGCCCCTTAACCACACCATGATTTGTATGTTTAATAGTCGAATATGAGAAGTCCTTCTCCCCACAATTAGATCATAAGCTCCTCAAAGATAGAGGATTGTATGTTATGTAACTGTTCGATACTTTAGGGAGGGTTTCAATAAATGTTCATGGCAAGCCTGATAGAACACCCCAGTGGGCAGGCCAAAGATTATATCTTTGAGTTAATACATCATACGCCAGTGATGGCGAACCTTTTAGAGCTTTCAGTGATACAAACAGCCCACTGCAGCTCGAGTGCCATAGGTTTGCCACCTGTGGAATGGAACTGTCGTAAGGTTTTGAATAGGAGACAAAATGTATATTTCAAGTTAGTTCACTGGTGCAAACTAGAGCACATGAAGAGGGACGATGCTCAGACATGGAGGTGGTGGCGAAAATAGCAACCCCATAGTAGGGACAGACCCTAGGCAGTCAGGCTACCTTCCTGAGCCATGCAAATCATGGCGAAACGTGCTCAGAGCCAGATGAACCCATGGAACAAGATGAGGCTCACTGTGCAGTGCGGCGCAACTGCGAAGGACAAGCCACTCGGAAGGGGAGTCCTTGCCAGCATTTTGTGTGGATCAGGGTTAAGACTAAAAAAGATTCTCTTCCCTTTTGCCTTTCTAATTTTCTAAAAGCTCCACTAACTTGGCCAATTGTCAAAATTTCCCATTTAACATTTAATTGTATTGAGTTAAATTTAAATTTTGAGAACCATTCCCTGGCCTGATGGTCTAGAATGGAAGTGGATATACAGCTCTCATGGGTGATGATAAAATTGAGCTCTCTAAAAATAAGCCAGTAAGTAAGCTGTACCCTGGTTCCCCATCCAGTCCGGCAGTAATGTACCCATAGTGCCAAAGGGTGCTCCCTCCCTCCTAGTCACTCCAGGCTTTGTGCAGTCATTTTGCCGCTTTTGAGGCATTTAGAGGAGGGGTCCCTTCTGCTACACTAAGTTAGCATTAATGTGAGGGCTCAGTAGCTTTCCAGCTGCAAGCATACGATGGGGCCTCACTTTATAGGTTCCAATTCAGAGTCAAGGCACCTTTGCTTCAAATGTAATCTTTTGGCTCCATTTCTTCTTCCCAAGGTTCATGAAAACCCCCGATGAAATCATGAGTGGCCGAACAGACCGTCTGGAGCACCTTGAGTCCCAGGAGCTGGATGAACAAATATACCAAGAAGATGAATGCTGAGGGGACCCAGGGTCGCCTCAGCAGCAGGCCAGCAGCAAGGGAAACTGCCCACCAGGACTGCTGGAAGCTGGGGAGGCTGCAGAAAAAGGCTAGAGTGGCAGGAACACTTCCCTGCAGGACAAGATGGACCAGAGCACCTTAGACAAACCTCCCAGCAGGGGCAGGGCTGGGATCCGGCAGAGGGCACGAGCCTGGGACTGGAGTGTCACGTTTCCTTCCCCTCTGGAGTCTCTCCCTCTGTAATTCCTCGCCCATACCCTTCCAGATCTGTTGTAGTCCCAAGGTGTTTCTTTGTTTTTTTAAGAACATGCAGTTTGACTTTTCATCATTCATATAGGGGAAGACATCGGATGTTGTTTTCCTATGGAAATATATATCTATTATATATCTATTTTTGCAAATCTCACAAAGGATGGCCAG